GCTGAGGCAGGAGAATGGCGTGAACCTGGGAGGTGGAGCCTGCAGTGAGCCAAGATGACACCACAGCACTCCAGCCTGGGCGACAGAGTGAGACTCTGTCAAATAAATAAATAAATTAATAAATTAATTAATTAATTAATTAATTCATGTCCGATGCTGAGAAAGGGAAGGTAAAACTGACAATCTATATATTGTAAGTAGGTGACAGTGCAAATCCACAACTTCTTCAGCAAACCAGTTGGTAAAATGTGTTCCAAGTTATGAAAAGCATAGCCCATAAATTCTGGATATCCCTGAACTATATCTCATCTTCTGTAAAAATGCTTAATGACACTTCTTGCAAAATATTGATTTTATCAAAGAATCAGCTTTTTATTTATTAATTTTCTCTATTTTTTAATTTTTAATTTTATTCATTTCTATTCTTATCCTTATTATTTCCTTCCTTACGTTTGTTTTAGGTTTATTTTTTTCTTTTTCTAGTTTCTTGAAGTGAGAACTTATTGATTTGATATCTTTCCTTATAATATGCATTTTCTATAAATTTCTCTTTGTACACTATTTTAGCTGCATCCAGCATATATTTATATATTTTTGTTTTCATTTAGTTCTATGTGTTTTACAAATTTCTTTCATGTTTTCCCTTTATTTACATGTATTTTTAATTGGTAAGCATTTGGGGATTTTTACATTATCTTTCTGTTACTGATGTTTAGTTAGATTCTATTATGATCAGAGAATATACTTTGTATGAGTTCAATTTTTAAAAACTTCTTAAGGTTTGCTTTACAGACTTGAATATGGCCTCTCTTGGTAAGTAACAAATGGGTGCTTTTAATCTATTAATGTACTTAATAGATTAAGAATGATAGGATAATTTAATCTATTTAATAGATTAAAAGCACCTGTGGGTCACTCACTAAGAGAGGCCATATTCCAGTAGGGTGGAGTGCTCTATAAGTGTCAGATTCTGTTGCCACTCACAAAGCATTATGACAGGTATTTTTCTGTGTCAATCTCAAACTCCTGAAAGACAATGATTTTTCCCACCAAGACAAAGGGGATTTGTGATGTCTTTTTCCCATGACTGTGAAGCAGAGAATGCAAGCTCTATCTTCAGAGAAAATCCATCCAAGAGAGTGCAGACCTAGGGAGGTGTCAAGTTTACAGCAGCACTAATCTACTGAAATTAATAAACTCTAGGTAATATTTTCTGTGATTGGTAATAGAACCTTAAAGAAAGCAATGCATGTCTCAGTCTGTATAAGATGAAAAAAAAAAAAAAAACCACATGGGACATCTGGAGAAAATCTAGAGACCCTAAAAGCTATTCCTGCCTATGTGAGTGAAAGATTATTCCTAGTTCCTTAATGGGAGACTGACAATCAAAAGCTTATTCTTTATAATTTCTTGTATATAAATAAATTGTATAGAATCCTGCAAATAGATTTAGTCATTCTCAGAAAGCCCTTTTGCATTTTCTCAAGCCCAGTGTTAAAGAAACTCTCTAGCTGTTGTTATACATATGTACCTGGACCACATGGTAGAATCCAGTGCACGTCTCACTAAGATTGCCTAAAACATTCAATAACTAAATCATCATTATTTCTTATGAGACTAAGTTTAGTATATCAAGTTGAATCCTTTTAGAGAGGGCAAATAATTTGACAGTTTATCTCTACACGATTCTTATTCACCATCACACTTAAATTAGCCTCTTCAGTACTGAAGCAAATTTTGCAACATAGGCATAAAGAATATTTGAGTTAGCCACTCAGTCTGAGTTCTCCTAGACACAGCTGGAACAATAGAAATTAATGTGAATTCTGGCAAAGAAAAGAAGTAAATGTTCCTTTCTGTGTATTTTTTCTTGGTTGAGGATGATGTAAGTGTTGAGGTGTTGTTAGCCACCTCTGACACTAGGTGAAGCTAGCATCCCTCTGAATGAAGCCAACACAGAGAAAAGCAGGGGCAAAAAATTCAGATTCAGAGACGCAGAGCCAGATGACATCATATAAACTCCTGTGTCTGAAGTGACACTTATTACGCTTTTTTGACTTCTAAATTACATGAGCCAAATTTGTTGAAGTTTTTGTTTCTTGGTTTTTTATTCTGCACCAGTTAATGTGAATTGAATTTCTGTCACTTGCAAACTAAGAACCTTAACTAATCCAATCAGACTGTGTGGAAATGGCTGTCAGTACAATATTGATGGAGATGAAATCACATTGCCCTAGACAGGGCTTAGTGCTCTGTTAGCTATCCTGAGATACCCACCACCATAGTAAAGTGCTCCAAATCCTGTGATGTAGACAGTTGAATTTGGTTGGAAGGATGCAGAGGCTTCTGGCAAACATATCCGGCGTATGTCATCTGAAAAAGTGACTCTGTAAGAGACCTGCACGACAGCAATGTCGTACTCTCTTGATGCGGAGTGATAGTTCTCATGGACAATAAATCTTTTGACATTTCTTTTCATTAAGGGAGGGTTGATTTTTGTTCCAAAACTAACAGTCCATTGATGTGGATTTTTATACCTGGAAAAGGTTAGAAATTAACAGAATATATATAAGCTGCCCAAAGTATATGAACTACATTAATTGCATTTAGGCTATTATAAGAGAAATACAATTCTGAGAATACTTGGCTGTGGTTATAGTTTTCTTTGATCATCTAAATATAATCTATTGCTAATGTTTTGAAAGATAAAACATATATAAACACCATATTAGAACTGATATTTAATACAAAGCTATTGAATTTTGGAATTGTAATACACATAAAATATCATTCATTTATCCCTTCCACAAATATTTACTGAGCATCTATGTGCTGAGCCTTATCTGAATTACTGGAGATAAAGTGATGAACAAGACCTAAGGTGCCTGCTCACAGGAGTATAAGATTCTAGAGAAGGAAAAGGATCAAAACAAGCAACCAAGTGGATAAATAACCTTAAACATTGATAAAGGCTATGAACAAAATACAATAGGGTAATGGAATAGAATACTAACAGGTCATTATGACTGTTTTAAGAACGCATTTGGGCTAAGACATAGTAAATGAGGGTCAGTGTGAGGAGATGAGGGAAACAAATTCCCAGACAAAAATCCCAAGGTCTTGCATTCAATGGGCTGCAGTCAGAACACAAGGGAAAGAACGGTTGGGGGTGAGCTTGGAGAGGTAAGCAGGGACTAGATTTTAGAGAGTTTCATAGGTCACGATAAAGTGCTTACATTTTATTCAAGTGATACGGGAATCTACTGGATAATTAAGACAGAGAATAATGTAGTCTCGTTTACATTTTTAAAAATCATGTTGGTTCTTTCTGGAGAATAGATTCTTGAAGGTCAAGAATGGATGTGGTAAAGTCTATTAGATGACTGCATAGTCCTTTGAGAGATGATCAAATGTGGTAAATGTGGTTGACTTCTAGCTTGTGGGCTTGGACAGTGGGTAGATTGTGGTACATACAAGGATCAGAAAAATCATTTAGTAGCAATGGAAGATGATCTAGTAAAGACTGTGCTTTATACTTAAGGAAAATAAAGCCTGGATAGGTTAAACTATTTGATTCACATCACGTGTCTGCCTGCCTCTCTCTGCTCTTCCCTTTATAAAACACTGTCTCCCACCAATTTATATTATTTGTATTTTTCAGAAGACTTCCTGCTTTATTTTATTATATGTGACACTAGCTACACATCTGTCTTGGTGTATTTAGTTATTGGAAGCATATTTTAAGGAAGACACTGACAAAGTCTCGAATGTTCAGAGAATAAGAACCAATGTAGTAGGGCATCTGGAAGTTGGTTCCGCAAAAAGGAGGTAAATATATATACATATTTTTTTCACATACATATATATGCATATATATATATGTGTGTATGTATATATACACATTTTTAGAAATTCAGGGTTATATGTGCAGGTTTGTTACACAGATAAGCTTGTGTCATGGGGTTTTGTTGTAATTATTTCATCACCCAGGTATTAAGCCTAGTACCCATTAGTTATTTTTCCTGATCCTCTCCCTCTAGCACTCTTCAGCATAGCAAAGACATGGAATCAACCTAAATGCCCATTAGTGAGAGACTGGATGAAGAAAACGTGGTATACATACACCATGGAATGCTATGCAGCCATAAAAAGAACAAAATCATGTCCTTTGCAAGGACGTGGATAGGGCTGGAGGTCATTATCCTTAGCAAACTAAAGCACACAGTAATGATACTTATTTTCACTCATGGTTTGGATATTCTCACTCACTTTATGTTTGGTCTAAAAAAGAGAAACTAAAGAATAGCTGTTACATGAATGAAGAGATAAAATTGGTTCCTGTTGTTGCAGATGAAAAAAACAAAAACAAAAACAAATATTGACGGTGGAAGTTAATAGAGTGCAGATTTGGTGTTCAATGCTATAAAGATATTTGCAAAAATAGAACTATCTAGCACAAAAATGGCTAACTTTGGCAAAGTAAGTTTCCCGTTACTTTGAAAAACCAGACAGCAGCATAGGGGATTTCTGGCTTTCTAATATATCAGCTTACTGAGCTCTTACAGCTTTCAAACATTAAGAATTTATGTAGATTCTTTTAATAAATAGATTACTATTTTTTAAGATGGGGACTTGCATTATCACCCAGGCTGGAGTGCAGTGGTGCAATCATAGCTTGCTGTAGCCTCAAACTCCTGGGCTTAAGGGATCCTCCTGCCTTAGCCTCCCAAGAAGCTGGGATGATAGGCATGCACCACCATTCCCAATGGGGTTTCACTATCTTGCCCAGGCTGGTCTTGAACTCCTGAGCTCAAGTGGTCCTCTCGCCTCGGACTCCCAAAATTCTGGGATTACAGGCATGAGCCACCATGCCCAGCCTAGATTCTTAATACATATTTTCTTCAGAATATTAAGAGTCTCTATAAAGATTTATGCTCTTAGGCAGATAAAATTTATTATAGTAACAAAAGTTAGAATTTTACAGGTCAAAAAGAATGTGAAAAGATCTAGTCTATCTATTACCTAATATACTAAGGTTCAATAATTTGCCCAGCTCTCCAACTGCCTGGGACATATTTTTCCCACTAAATTCTGCTGCCACCTATTATATAGAGATACTCGAGAAGTCTTTGTTATTACCATAATAATTGGTAATGAAGAAGAAAGGCAATACAGTTAATCTACTTAGAAAAAAATCTAAAATTTTAAATGTAATAGTGATAAAAATGACTGGTTATTATCTTGAAAAGTAAAATTAAAAGTTATAAAAAGTCATTTTATCTTATAAATGACTTTATAATTTAATATACATTAATAAAATGTGTGCATTCAGAAGCAATTATATGATAGCACAATTTGCTGTTCTTCACTTCAGCTTTGTGTTTTGTGGCACTATTGTGAAGAGGAGCTCTATTATGCGAAGGTCACATTGAGTAGCCCAAGGGCCTCTCTGAATCCTTTGATACTCCAGGAATCTCTTTTGAACTGCCTGTCTTTATCATGCTAGCAAGCTCTCATTTTGGTTGTTCTAATTCCACAGATCTTCATGTGTCAATGCTCTACATTTGATCTGCGGTTCTGGTTCTCCATCATTACAGTTACCAACTTCCTGCATTTATTGAAAATTTCCATTTTACTTTGGAATTAGTTTGATTATTTATGATGAGTAGGAGACTGGCCCAAGTGTTTGGCAGAAACAGACACTATTTTAAGTGGAGAGCATTGTTTCACAAAAGATTAATGGTGTATGTTATTAGTGAATATTTTGTGTTAGGATGTCACAAAATAGTTCTGATTCCTTACACAGTTTCCTTATTAAAAACTTTGAGGAAATGATTGATGAATACTAGGATAATGACTGTTACTTCCTTTATTCCCATCAAATTTCTGATTAAGTATGCAAGTGTAACATTGTTTTAGAGAAGAACATGAAATAACTTTTTCTTATTTTACTTCAGTAATATTTGGGACATTAATTGTTACCAAGAATATGACAAAACTTAGGGCTTTTTAGCAGAAGTGGGTTCTAACTTAAGGTCAATAACTTACCTCTGGAAGCAGTGTGCTGCAGTGACAAGCCATGTATTACTAATTAAGGTGGCCCCACACTGATGGATATTATCATACTGAAGGGAAGCTTGCCAAGGCCAGGCCGCCTTGGGTGCAATGACTCCAGATGCTATTCTGTTGACGTGTAATGGAGCAACTCGTTTACCACAACCTGAAAAAGATGAGATCATTAAGTTATAAGAAACATCTTGTAATTACAAGAAATGACCCCATTCTTACTTGCCTGAAGACATTTTTCTATACTACTCCTCCTACCCAGGACACTCACCCTACCTGTCACTGGATTCATGGCCTCTTCTCTCTCGCATTTCAGAGTTCACTTTCTCACTCTGTGAGACCAGGTTAGCTGACTCTGATGGACTCTCATAGCACTATGTACTTCCTCTGCCATAGCCTTTATCGCACTATTTTCGTACTTCCTGATTTATTTATATCTTTCTCTACTTTGAAATTCTAATTTTAGAGCAGGGATCATGTTTTATTCACAATGGTACCACCAACTCCTGGTCTAATTTCTGGCACTTGGCAGATGTTAAAAGATACTTGTTGAATGAATAAATACATGAATAAAAATACTTAGGGTGTTTGCAAGACACCGAGGCAAATGCATGAACATCACTGTTCAAATTCATCATTGTTTTTGTAAAATCTTTCGAAATATAGGCCACAGTGATTTGAAGTGATTTAATGAAGCCACTGTTAGCGATTAAGATGAATATATTAAGCATATTTCTTTTCTTCTTCTTCTT